CGGTAATCACTGTGGTTATCTTAAACTTAAAAAGAATGTTTTCCACATTTGTGTTCTGAGAAAGTCTCAATTGAAAGACTACATGAAGTTAAACGACACGCACACCAAATGTTACATGGTGTGTTAATGTACAGTACAATGAAAAGCTTCATGCATTTATTTGAGCTCGGAAGTGTATTGTATCTATTGGAAGGCTTGTCATTAGCAATAGCGCCCCAGGCTTGTTAATTCACTCACCACCCAAACCAGTTGAGCCTGGCAGCCAGATACTCATGCTCACGTAGTGACCCATGACCCAGTCTCTACTGCCTCCTCCACACGAGCACACAGCCCCTGGTACGCCGCTCCATGGGAGAGAGAACTTGGCTAAGCTTTACTAAAGATCCCCCCTAAGGCACACACTTCTCCCCTGCCACAGAAGAAGCAGGAGCAGTAGCAGGAGCCGAAGCGAGCCCGGAAAGGCTTGAATCACCACTGCGCTAGGCATCTGTTTGAAAAGCTCCTCAGCCCCTGCTAAGTACAACAGAGCGCTAATGTCTGCGAGGCTGGTGGTGACCCCGAGTGATCTGTGTGTGTGTGTGTGTGTGTACGTGAAGGTGTGTTTTGGTCTCGGGGAATTTACATGTAGGTGTGCGCATGTGTGTATATGCATGTGCGTGAAGAGTGCTATGAATCAACACTTTATCACGCCCCTGCCTCTGATCCGCTCAGGCACTGGAGGCTATGCTGTTCAGAGCTTTGCTGCTGTGTGTGAGTATGTGGCGCCTATGTTCCAGCACTCGCTCTGGCTGCTGCATCTGCTCCGTGGGAAGACTGCTGGAGGGACTCCAAGGCAACTCTCACTCCCCTCTCTCATCTCTCCCACCTCTTATTTCACTTCCTTTCTCCCTGGTTCTCTGTACTTGAAGGGTCTTGGTGCTAGAAGAAACTTCGGCACCCTCTCACATTTTTTTTTTTTTACTTCAGCAAGTGGTTTGTCTTATATCTTGGTATAAGATATAAACAGATAAACAGAATACACAGAAATACACAAGTGAATATACAAATGCACTGTAAAACAAACTAGAACTTACACAATGGAGGCTGTTCGCATGGCTCTTTTGGTTGAATTAATTTACTTTATAATAATACTGAACTTAAAATGTCACATTGTCATGGCTTTAAATCGGTCATCTCTTTAAGAATGATCAACTTAGAGGAGTAGTACTTATGTCATTATGTCGTTCCAAACCTATATTACTTTATTTCTTCTGTGGAACACAAAAGAAGATATTTTGAAAAATGTTTCAGCATTTTTGTTTGTGCATACAAGGAAAGTCAATGGGGTCCAATGTTGTTTTGGACCCCATTTAACTGGCAAAATCATTCTTCAAAATATCTTCTTTTGTGTTCCGCAGAACAAAGAAAGTGACGTAGACCTTAGCATTGCCATATTTCATTTTTGACATGAATGAAAACAAGGCTGTGAGGGATAGAAGTACAGAGGATTCAATGGAATGTACTGTTGTTTAAAAACATACTGATTGTTCAGCTGATGAAATGTCTTTCCAGAAAAAAAAAACTGTCAGTAGACAAAAACTCCATAAAACAATTTTGAGTTGAGTTGTGAGTAATGAAAATTACATGATGTAGGAACTTTATACAGTGCGTACCATTGTAAAGATTGTACAGTAAGTCTATCTTTGATAGCCTTGTTTTCATCCATGTTAAATTCAATATGACATCTGATTAAAGTCTGTAAGTTTGGAACAATGTTTGAGTGAGTAAATAATGACAGAATTATCACATTTTCAGATTTTTTTCCCCCGGTTGTAAACATCCTAAAAAGAGTTCCCTTCATTTGCGTTTAAATTGTCCAACATTATATCCTTAATTTCATATTTCTATCAGAAATATACATGGAGGCCAAAGTGCTTGCTGGCTTAAACTATTGAAAACATCACACTCATCACAAAATAACAATTTACTTGATTGGACAACAAACAACCAACAACCATGCAAAGAAAACTGGCAAACAGTCAAATGCAACCAAATCATGCTGCAGTGCATGCTGGGAAGAGCATAAATGGGACAGAATATTGTAATTTCTCAGAACTGTAAGTAAACTAAACAATTAAAATAATCAAATTTTTACTATATTTAAGCATTATTTAGCTCAACTAAGAATCGTCTAAGACACTAGCATAAAATTTGGTCTGTTTACACATATGGATATCTGCCAATGTCATATTATGCATTTCAGTAAGCCATCAAAAGTGACTGACAGCTCCTTGAGTGAGGCTGACACCCTACCACCCTCACTGCCAACTGCCCGACCCCTTCAAGAGATCCCTATGAGCCATCAACAGCAACTTTCCTTTGGCAGCTGGCATTCATCAGTGGCTTACACATTAACTTTACACTGGCTCTGTGATTGCAGCTCAGCTTGTTTGGGAGCATGCTATCTCCCACTTTCTCACGTACTTTAGTCCTGATTACATTATTGCTGTGTGTGGACAGCCATGGTTGAGAGACCTTGATAAAGATATGATTCTGACAGAGAGAGAGGAGAGCGGTGGAAAGGGGCTGCAGAGGGAAGTGTGTGAGTATGTGTGCATGTGAGTGAGCGAGTGACATAGAGAGAGAGAAGCGGTGACAAAGACTTTGGTAAGTCATAAAAGTATTGCTTTAACTCTACTTATGTTCAATAACAGTGCCAATAAAACAGAGTGATACAAAATAATATGGACTTTTTACACAGCCATAATTAACTTAATTGCGAAGACGTCTGCTGTTCTTCATTGTTGCAATTCAGTACGTCAGCAATTCATACACACTGTAACAATGAGCCTATTTTTTCATACAGACACAATAACGACATGATCTCACTAAAGGTAACACTACAGAAAAACACACATGGGACTGGCAGCATCCAGGTGCTCGGGGGGGGGGGGGGGGGGGCGTTTGTGTCATAAACTTTGATACAGTATTCCCATATTTATCTGCTTCAAATGTATGTTGTTTAGAAATCAACTACTTAACCCTGAACTGTGTAAATAAGTGTGAGGCACAAAGAGGGCTGTCCACTTTCGGGGTGGGTTGTAACAGTAGGTGGAGTGGGTTGTAACACTAATTTACTTGTTCAATATAATTGTTATGCCACCCCTACCATTTCATCACCTCCCCCATTTCATAAGCATTTTAATTCAAAACCATATGCAAATAGGACACATTCATAACAGCTACTAAAATAGAAGATATGCCTGGTCAGCCACGATATTTCTAGCATTTATTTTAAACATGCAGCTGTAATGCACGTTATTGATAAATATAACATTAAGCAAGATAATATTTTCTTTCAGTTTTCTCATTTAGCAGTCATTAACATTAATGTTTAATTGGTTAAACTGATGGAACTCCAACAGCCAACAAATAAATTAAATGTACAATACAATGTTCATTATTGAAAGCAAAACTGATGACAACAATGAACAAACTGTAATTGTTTTATGGACCTGATTGCAATTATATATGCATTGTTTATTTATTACCATAGCAATTAATTAATATCAACATGTATAAACATTGTGGTGTCCTCAGTGGTAAGAATTTAATAGCAGAAACTGAGGTGATGTGATTAGAAACGCATATAACAATGCAGACTGTTCAGCAGCCTGCCACTATGATATATCACACTCATGAACTGCAGGCGAACCCCCGGCGCTCGTCCCGCAGACGCGTGCAAAGCCGGCAGGAGCAGCGCCTTCCCCCGCCGCTTGCGCGCCACGTGTCGCGGGGTCCGCAGCAGCTGGAGACTCTCATATCAGAGGGCTGCCAACCCACTCCAATCACAGTCTTTACTGTTAATGGATTATTATGACAGACCACTAACTGACAAGTCTGTTAGTTTATGATAGATGGCTACGTATGCGATATGCTAACATCGTGTAGCCTAAACTGAACGTTCGACAATCTATATTTCCGTCTTACGCACGGGGTCCAAAATGCGCTTGGACTTTGTTATTTGCGTTTTCATTGCATACATAAAGACGTGACGAAGTACAGGCAGAAAAGCATGAATGAATTCAGTGTTGAGTGGCGTTTGTTTGCGAACTCATCCGAGGATCATAAAGCCATGACCTAAATTAGAGCCGCTTCTGTCAGAGTCAAGGACGCTATCCGTGCAGTGCGCGCTTTCGGTCTGAAATATCTTCACACTGGCTCGCATTCCGATAAGCCCGATCGAGCTCTCAGTGGGCGTGGTTTTCCCAGGCTTTTAGAACAGCAGCTGCTATTTACCTTCCCTCTAATGTAAACCACCACCGCCACCCCTAGCCCGCCAGCCAAACCTCAACCACCGAGGTAATAAAACATCCTGGCACGTGCTCCACATTCACAATAGCGCTCGTGAGCCGACAGATGTCAGGATGCCAACAGCAGCGACGCGCTTAAAGAAATACAGCGCTGTCTTGTCAAATGAACTTCTACAAAGTAAAATGTTAAACACATACTAAAACTGAAAGCCTAAATGTATTTTTTTTAAGTAGTGCGAAATGTAGACTGCAGTGATTATGCAAAAGTTTAACCACTTTAAATCGAATGGCAGAAATCATTATGAGAAGAATTGATTTCCTACAGTGCAACTTGTAAAAAATGTTGAAAGTAAAACAGATGAAGTAAAACGTTCCTTCTGACCCCCCCCCAACCAGACAGATTTATAAAACTTGGACCACTTAAAATGTGCCGTTTTTATTTTTAATGACTTTTATTATGTGGCATAACGTACACATCCCGGTCTTCACAACAGGCATAATATTTCGGTTGTAGTAAAAGGCAAACTCACATGCATTTTGTTTTACCCTTTTAACATGAATATTGCAATAGTAAACTTTTTCCACGTCTCACAATTTCTATATTGTGCAGGAAGTATGTCTTTTTTTAGTTTCCTTAATTCATTTCAATAGATCTATATGTGTATTGAACTGTAATTGCAAAGTTTGCTGTTTCTTTGCGGAGACTGGCTCTTAAGTGTTAATATGTTAACGGAATGATTGAAGGCAGTCCCGGTTGTGCCCTAAACCCGGCCGCGCACCATTGGCCACCCGCTCAAACGCTAAACAACCAATGGAGGGGCGCCGACCACGAGCCATCCTCCCCTCGGGCCGCGTGTCCCTCACGCTGATTGGTAGAAAGTTACTGTGGGAAAGAAAGTTTGGGAAGTTTCACACGAGCCGTTCGCGTGCAGTCGGAGATATAAATAAGACCAGCACGGCGCTGAGGCAGGCAGTTGCTGCGACCGCTGGCAAACGGTGAAATCATTGCCGCACCAGTTGAACTCGGGACACTTCGTGCGGATATCCATTCATATCTGGAACTGTATCTGCGTACAGCGTGCACTCTAGTAGAAGATACAAGAGGATTTCTTTTTAAAAAAAAATCTCAAAGGATACTTCCCAGTGAAGATGCCTGCCGATATCATGGAAAAGAACTCCTCGTCTCCGGTTGCGGCGACTCCGGCGAGCATGAACACTACACCTGATAAACCCAAAACGGCTTCGGAGCACAGAAAGGTTTGTATTGAGTCTGAACTGTACTGCATTTATTTTCAAACAGCGCGCATATGCGCAATACGATGCACTGAGAAATAGTTCCCGAAGTAGACTAGTTAGACAATTTCACTTTTTTTTTTCTTTTGCATTTTAGTCTTCTAAACCCATTATGGAGAAAAGAAGAAGAGCGAGAATCAACGAAAGCTTGGGCCAGCTGAAAACGTTAATCTTGGATGCTCTGAAAAAAGATGTAAGTACTGAAAGTCCTATTGATTCTTACATTTACATCTGGATCGAATATCGATCTGTCTCCTCGCATAGCCGACTATATCTAAATCAATCCCCATTTTCACACAGAGCTCCAGACACTCTAAACTCGAGAAAGCGGACATCCTGGAGATGACAGTGAAACATCTCAGAAACATGCAGCGGGCACAAATGACCGGTAAGTCGCCAGTCTCATGAACAATTATAAAATAAGTAGGCTTAGTTTTATGAGAACTTCCAGGAACTCGGCTGCTGTGTTTCTTTCTGCACTTGTTTTAAATGTTGCGAGATACTTTTTTTCCTCTACTGAATTCGACTAGATTGAAAGCGGTTTTAGAAATGACTCGAAACAGTTTTATGTTCATCTACTCTGAAACGTTTGACCGAATGTCTTACCTCATTTTCCCAACAGCTGCCCTGAACACGGACCCCACCGTTCTTGGGAAATACAGAGCTGGCTTCAGTGAATGCATGAACGAGGTGACCCGGTTCCTGTCCACCTGTGAAGGGGTTAACACCGAGGTCAGGACCCGGCTGCTGGGTCACTTAGCCAGCTGCATGACACAAATCAACGCCATGAATTATCCAACACAGCACCAGATACCTGCCGGGCCTCCTCATCCATCCTTCAGTCAACCAATGGTTCAAATCCCCAGCGCGACTCAGCAAACCAACGCTGTGCCTCTTAGCGGAGTCCCTTGCAAAAGCGGGATTTCCTCTAACTTGACTTCTGACGCAACAAAAGTATACGGCGGTTTCCAGCTTGTGCCGGCAACGGACGGACAGTTCGCCTTTTTAATTCCCAACGCTGCCTTTGCTCCAAACGGCCCCGTTATTCCAGTGTATGCCAACAATTCCAGCACACCGGTTCCGGTGGCCGTGTCTCCGGGAGCACCGTCCGTCACGTCAGATTCCGTTTGGCGGCCTTGGTAACGTTAGACTATCAACAACGACAACAACAAAAAAACTTTTAAAAGGCAAATGACACTTGTTTTCATTGTTAAGCGTTACTTTTTGTTCTTTTTGTATAAAAATGTGTTTTAAAGAGATGATGCACTATATTTGTATAGATCAAAAGGGAGAGAAGTTCATATTGAAATAAGTTTTGTATTGTTGAATTCCGTTCAATGCATTTTTTTATATTTGCGGTATCTTTTCCACGTTGTGATGCCAAAGATATGTTGAATGCGCTTTCAAGTTTCTTCTTTTTGGAAGATAAATAAATGACACATTAAAAACTAAACGTTTTGCCTCCGTGTTTAGTTTTATCACAGTTTGTGAACTTTTGCTTATTCTTACCTTAAATTAAGCCATCACTCGGGCCATAGGCCTATCGATGTCACATGCAATAAATCGTTTTAAGTATTTTTCTGTGACTAGGTTTTTGTTGGAAAGACGCAAAGTTAAAAATCATTCAAATCCACTTACCTAACTGTAGCAACATCTGTCACGTACTTGTAGCCTCGTTTGCACGAAAAAATAAATATGGCGTCTACGCTTGTCATGGGGCCATCGACTTCTAAACTGATTCTAGTGAAACTAGAAACTTATTTTTATTTTTTACAAAGTTGTACTTTGTTAGGACGTAAACGGTGTCAAATTATAGTTCGGAATTTCTATCGTTAATAAGTTTTTTTCTCTCTCTCTTATCGCTTAGCAATTTCATAAACTAGAAGCTAGCACTAATTCAATTAATATTCTCATAAAAAGCGATTGATTTACAGATTAAAAAATAAAAATGACTATTCTGTCGTAATTTACCGATTACAGGACGAACAGTAGCCTGTTGGAAGAAGGTTTAATTTGCAGACATTTAAGGATTTTATCACAATTCATAAACATTACAATGCCTGTATATAAATTGTGTGTGACAGCCTGCAGGATTGCAAGAGGATGAAGCTAAATGCAAAGTTCAGCAGCAGAGAGAATGACTGCAAACGATTTGAGAATGACTGCAAACGATTTTTATTACACGACAATTTAGCGCCATCTAGTAATTCAAATGTGAATTGCAACTGCAGAGCCACCGAGTGGACTGCTCAACACTTTCAGCTACTTGTTTGGTAATACCTAGTCATATTATAACATGCATAATGCCATGTTGACATAAACGTGTGTATATATATATATATATATATATATATATATAAGAAAGGGGCTACTAAATATGCTTAGGTGTTTTTATTTGTGTAAGCAAAAATGATGCAGAAATTGCACATGACATGATGAAACGTTTCCTCCTTCATGCATCCTTGTGTTTTCCCAGGTGTGGCCATTCTTTGAAGGGGGCATTGCAGGTGTTTGCAATTACCCGCTATGAGGCACAAAGTGTGGATAAGTACGATCATTTTGAATTTCCATCACACCTTTTGTGGTGCAGAGAGTATAGAGATTGAAACCAAATGTTAGAGGAAAGCCTGTGGCACGCTCATTTCGAAACGGTCAGCCTGCTTTTGCCAACCTTAACTTCGAGCGTGCCACCATCTCAACAGATTTACAATGTTGTGGCGGGCCATGCATTCATTTCCTGCTTATACCAAGGTTACAGCTGGATCCAGAGACGAGCGGCGCAACCCAAGAAAACCCGCCGATCCCCATCAGACGTGCTTCCTCCTTCCCGCCTCGCTACAACCCGCCCCTGGAGGACAGCTGTACAAGGGTCTCAGGTTACCTGCGCACTGACCACTGTGCCGGGGCGCCCGTGCACATGTCACAACATGACCGGAGGGTTAGCCAGCATGCATGTCAATTAACTTTTCCCACACTCTGTGCAAATGCAAGAGGCTTGAGAAGAGAAAGAAGGGGGGAAAAGGGAGAAACATAAAAAGGTCTAAACGAAAGCCCCCTCTCTGCTTCCTCCTTGGTTCTTAAGCGTTACCATATGGCACGATCTCTCCCTTTCTCTCCTTTTTCTTATTCTATCTCTCTCTCTCCTTCTCTCTCTCTTAACTCGTCATCATTACTGCCTTGTCTTTGATTGTAGCCCTGACAAGCCTGGGATTTATGATTTAAGCACAGGGATTGCTGTACCAAGCTCTGGACTCACTATGCAGCCCTCTATCTCCCATTCGCACTCCTTTTCCCTCTCTCGCCCTCTCCTGCAGTTGCAAGGGAAAGGCTGTTTTCTGGCAGGAAATGAATAGCTCCCAGATGAGCTGAGGAACCTGAGAGGTCGTGAGAAAGAGGCGAACCCCCTTCCCACAGCCGGCGCACTGCCAGCCGCCGGGGGAATGTGGGAGAGCGTCTCTCTGACACACGCATCAACTCTCCCGCTGCTTGCCCAAACACCCCTCTGCCTGCCTGCCAGCAAGCGCTGACGCACAGGGCCCATCTGAGGGGGGGCAGAGCAGAGATGATTGGGGCAGTATGTGGGTAGTTAGACAGCAGAGGCGTACGTGAGGACGAGGGCAGGGGACGGGAAGGAGGATGGAATGATGGAAGCCACGACAAGAAGAACACGTTCCCTAAATATAGAGTTAAAGAGGTTATACACGCACTAAGTGTTTTGATCTGTACTGGGGATATCATTCAGAGTGAAGCAGAAGCTGGATATTCGATAACAGCTGCAAATGCAGATCAACAAATGCCTTATTTATTATAATATTCACTTCGATTTACTCTTGAATATATTACCTTGCTAACAAAAATGTGATGATCACTGTGCCACAAAAGTGTCTTTTTAATTACTATGGGTTGTTTCACTTTTATATAAACATAAAACTTAACTTGATTGGAGACCGAGAGCCTCTAAACAACTTTTTCAAGTTCTCAGACAGGAGCAGCAATGGTCAAGGGCTTTTACTCTGACAGCAGCAAATAAGGATTCATGGGAATGACCAACGAGTAATCAAAGTGACACTTTTGGCACAGGAGATGAAGGAGATAGCTCTGCAGCATTTAAAATGAAAGGAAAACAAATATATATAAAAAACTATATAGATGGAAATTCTTACAGAAGAATTAAGGAATTTATTTTGTCTATGGCAAGAAAAGGGGATCATTTAGAAATGTACAGCTTAAGACAATCCACTTAGTATTGAGATGTTTTTACTTAATGTGATTCGTTAATATGTGAAACCAGCCAAAAATAATGTATTTAATATCTAATATTCATTACTGTTCAAAAGTTTTGGGTTGGTATGATTTTTTTTTTAATGTTTTTGAAAGAAGTCTCAACAGTACTGCAGTAACAGTAAAAACAGTAATATTGTGAAATACTATTGTAATTTTTCAATGTAGTACTTTGAAATTGTTGTACAATGTAATTTATTCCTGTGATGGCAAAGCTGAATTTTCGTTTTCAGTGTCAGGTTCAGTGATCCTTCATAAATCATTCTAATATTCTGATTTGGTGGGAAAAAAAATCTTATTATAAATTTTGCTGCTTAATATTTTTGTGGAAACCTTGATACGCTTCTGATCAATGTCATGTGTCCTTGGTAAATAAAAGTATATACAGTATATATATATATATATATATATATATATATATATATATATATATATATATATATATATAA